GGAGGGGACAGGGGAATGACAGCTGGCTGGCTCCCTGGGCTTCATCTCCATCTGACTTCCTCCACTCCCACCCCACATTTCTTGGCAGGCAGGACAAAAAGAATGAAAAGCCCAAAGCAGAGATGCCACTGGTCATGTGCCAAGGAGCCCCCTGTTTCCAGCCCTCACTGCTGGAGTCTAAGGAATGCCCTGGCAAAGTCACCCCTCCACATTCCCCTAGGGGTTGGTAGAAACCCACTCCTCATGTCCTTCCTCTGTGGTCCCCTGGCCCTTCTTGGGAACCAGCTTTCTGTCTTTGCAGTCTATAACTAGAGTTGATGGAACTCTTAAGGGGCAGCTGGAGTTTTAATGGGAAAGGTAAAGGTGAGAGGCCACCAGCTACACTGGGACTGCCATTTCATCCTAAATGTCATCATACTTTGAGATATCTTCCTTGGTACTATGCACAAGGGATAGTGTACTTTTCTCCTCCTCAGCTCAGAGTTCACACCAGATGGCTTCAGCTGCCATCCAAAAGAGGAAATGACATCGCTGCTGCTCTTTGGCTAGGGCCTCTTTGCTTCCTCTCAGCCGCCCTGCTTCCCCAGAAGCCCCTGGTCCTCTGCCAGAGTCCTGCCCTGCAGAAGCATCAGCCTGCTGTCAGTCTATGGTCAGCTCTAAACTCAACATCAAAGAGAGATCAGGCCACCCATCCCCCCTCTCTTCCCACATGCTATCATCTCTCAACCACAAAACCAGAAGACAGTAGAGGCTGGCAGGCTAGTGGGCCCTGAGTAGTGGAAAGCGGTCCTTATTAGGAGATATCCTTCCCCTTCATGTTGAGTGACAGGCTTCTCACCAAAGACCCCAGAGAAGGTGACAGAAAATGCAGCCCACGAAGATGACTAGGTGTTTCCTAATGCTGATTTCAAACATTATAGCCACTGTAGAAAGGAAGTGGTTAGTGCGGAAGACTAGGGAAAGATGGGCTCTGGTTCACAAAAGGATCCTTGCCCCGATGATTGACCCAGCTGCTGACATCTTGGCAATGACTGTCATCTTGCATGATAGGGGACCCTGGCCAGCTGTGTTCCATGTGACATGGGATGAACCAAGTTTGTGATGATAGTTAGCCAAACAGCAGCGAAGGGTGTGTACTGTTCCTGCAGAGGACTTCAGTTCAGCCCCCAGTACTCACAACTGTCTATGACTCTGGATTCAAGGGATATGACCCCCTTATCTGGATTCCATGGGCACCAGACTCACATTCCCCCAATTAATAAAATAAAATTGAAAATGCAAAACAAAGATAGTCAACCATGCATTTTTAACTGGCCACTGAAACCTGGACTGATCCTCAGTTGATATATGATACATTAAAAGTGTTTGTAAAAGCTCCGGTACATTCTACTTAGGCAAGACCCATTTTTGTCTGGCTTGCATACATACCCCTTCCTCCTACCTTGGAGTGTGGGACTCTCATCTTCCTGCTACTCGCTCAGCACATGCGTCTGTCAGTAAGTCCCTAATACACTATATTCTGGGCAATCCTGGGTTTGTCTGTCTCTCAGCACCTTCCACCTTTGGTGTCTAGCTCTTATATTCTAGACTTTTCTAAAACAGGCCCCTTTGGCCTGAGCCCTTGTGTGAAAGCCCTCTGAGAAGCTACTGTGTATTATAGTCCTCTGAAGCTAGAGCTCTCTGAACAGGGCCACTGTATACAGTGGTGTGGGTTATTCACTGTGCACAGGTAGCTGAGAGTGAAGGCTGAGATGAAGCCTGTGATTTGAATGGCCAGAGGGGTACAAGTGGGGCTGGGCCCACCAGATGGAGTCCTGCTCTCTGTCCTAAGGCAAAGTGCATTATGGGTTAGCTCAAGCCCATCACAGATTTTCATTCACATTTTGGTTCTGAACCTGGCCTTTGCCCATCAGATAAGCAGGGTTTTAGGTAAGCTTATGGTTCCAGTCTGCCAGATGACATGATATGTGGCATAACACCTTCAATATTTTCCTGGCACATTAAAGCCTTGAGTGACTTAAAATGAAACTTCCAGTGGAGGGAAAAGCCCTCCCAGCACCGCTTTTTCGGATGGCCAGGCTTCTCTGTACTCTAAGAGCATGGACTTAGATGCTTCCTTGAAATGCTCAGTTACTCCTTTAACAGGCAGTCCCTCCATGCCACAGCATGCCCGTAGACTCAGGGAGAGTGGGCAACTTCTCTCTGCAGATGCCCATCCTCTATCAAGGAATGAAGGGACATAGTCACGCTCTGGGGGAGAATTCTGGATCCACATTCAGTCTTGATAAGACTCCAGCTAACTAGGCTATCCAACCACTTGGATAAAATCCATTGTCCATTGATTACTTCTAAGTGGCAGTCAGCCTCATGCCCTTATTAGTGAACTGCCTTGCTTTCCCCTACAAGTTCTCTGTCAGTGGCAAAAATGGATAGTCTACTTACTGATTTCACTGACATGAGAATGCTACTAAACCAGCCCTTCACTTTGTTAGTGGTAAGCAGGGGAGGAAACACAAGCAAATCTTCATCATGATCATTCTCCTCCTCCTCCTCCTCCTCCTCCTCTTCTTCCTCTTCCTCTTCCTCTTCTTCTTCTTCTTCTTCTTCTTCTTCTTCTTCTTCTTCTTCTTCTCCTTCCTCCTCCTCCTCCTCCTCCTCTTCTTCTTCATCTTATGAACAATGCAAATCTTCTTTTAGAGAAGTCAAACTTTTGTGTACATTGTATTCAGAAAACAGGCATATTTGTTGGTTGGTTATGCTTGATTAAAATACTGGGTTGTTGAGCCCAAATTCTTGGGCTCTGAGTTTGAGTAGCCTAATCAGAGGATGATATCTCTACTGGCTTGGGCCAAGGAAGTGTCAGTAGCAATCTGTGGCTATCCTGGGACCAGAAAGCCTGAATGTATCACCTAGTAAAGCTTTCCCTTCATGAAAGAAACTCAGGGAATCATTTTTTAAAACTTTGAGCCTTTTGTCACATAAATGCAGAAGTCTCAAGAGCCCGGGATGTTTTCCTGCTTCCAAACGCTTCTTTGTAAATTCACATGGTATGCCAGATGTGTGGAGGGGCAGGTGCTCTCCTGTTGTGCTCATCAACAGTCCTTGGAGATCCCCCGAGCCAGCAGCACTTCTGATGGTGAAGGCACATCAATAAATGCTCCGTGTGGAGCTTCCCTGAGCCTGTCTTTGTCCATCCTGATAACCACTTCTCAGGGAAAGCAATCTGAAGATGTTTGTACATCTTGCCCAAGTACCAAGTTTCCTCTCTTATAGCTTGCCCTCAAAGTCTACCTGCAGAGCACCCACTCTGTGCTGTCAGAGCTCAGCTTTCGCACAAAGGAAACTCTTTTTTTTTCTCAATTTGTACCTGGGAGTCCCGGTTGCCTGTACAGCTTGCTGTTAACTCATCAACTCAATCTGCAAACCTCCTCCATCTACAGCAACCAGGCCTCAGCTCAATACAGAAAGACCCACCTCTACCCACTTTCTATGAAGCTATTGTGGGGCAGAAGAGGTCCCATGGGCCTAGCCTCAGACAGTGACCATGACACCTTCATTACCAGGTGACCACAGCAAACCAGCTATAAGGACAAGGGGCCAACAGGTCTCACAGCCTACTTTTTCTGGTTTCTCTGGTGGGAGAACCTATGAAAACAAAGAGGGGAGTTTCTATCCTTTATTTGCTATCTCCCTGAGGTGTTGTGATGTATACATTTGGTGAATTCAAAATCATGGTTAAATGTCGTTAAAATGCATCCAGCTATAACAGGAAAACGACTAGGTAGCTTTCAACCCAGGACTTCTTAGACTCTTTAAGAAGGATTAAAAGTGTACTAATCATACAGAAGTCATGCTTTACAAGGCCTTTGCTCTTCAACAGAGGTGGGGAAACAAGGCAAGTTAGCATCAGTGGGCCCCATTCTGGGAAGGGGAAGGTGGTCAGTCCCATGTGTTCCTCAACTGCTATCTTGGTTGCTGATAGTTTAATATTAATAGTACAGGCAGGGGCCCATGAACTCAATGGGTTTTTCTAGATCAGTCAGTGTGTACCAAGCCTTAGGCTTGGAGAAGACACCACCATGGAAAGGGGAGATGCTTCTGTGTTGTATAGATCATGGTTTAGATCCCAGAGGGATCTCATGGACTGCTCTTACTTGCCTCCCTTTGTGTCATGGTGTGAGTCTCTGCCTCTCTAAGCTGCTGTGTAAAGGGGAAAGACCATTTCCCTGCAGGGACAGTGACCCTGTATCCTATTTGTACTCATCGTCAGAGTCAGGGACAGAGGAGATTGATAAAACCTTGGCCCTGACAAGTGCTTGGTACAGTTATGGGGCTCAGCAACTGTCTTTCTCTCTAGGTCACACTATGCAAACGAGGCTGACAAGGGACCTTATGGGCTGTAGGTATTCATGCAGAGGCCACTACCACACACACACACCAGCTAGACCACATTGCCACAACCCATGCAGCACGGTTGCTTTCTCTACACAACAAAAACCATCTACAAAGCAGCAATGACAGTTTGCAACTCGCACTAACACGATTGTCAGGGTTCACAGAGGGAAATTTGGATTTTTTTTTTTTTTTTTTGAGGTGAGTGATGGTTCTCAGCCAATTTGGTTCATGGTTTGGTTCATGACCTTTACCCCAGGCCACTGTAGAAGATGCACAGATGGCCCAGCCCCAGCCCCAGCCCCAGGAGCAGTAAGGTCCCTTTCTCCTCAGAGCCTTGAAAAGAGGCCACAGGTCCCATCTGTGGTTGGGCTCAGGTTGGGCCCTGAGCTGTGAACCTTCTGCAGAGGGGGGTGCTTGCCCTTTTTGCAATTCCATCCCTGGAAGAGAAGCTGCAGACACTTGCAAAAGAAAAGGGGTTGGGGAGGAGGGGGAAGCACTGGACTCCCTCCCACCCCAAAGATGACAACCAAAAAAAAAAAAAAAAAGATTTGAAAAACAACCAAAAGCAAAAGAAACATGGAGGGCAGAGAACCAGCTGAACTTACCACACTGCGAGTGAATTTTTCTAGGGAAGTTCTACGACCTTGCTCACTTTCTGGCTTTGGGGGGAGAAAAAAAAAGGGTAGGGAGAAAAATACAGGGGAAAAAATCTTCAGCTTTACATGTGATTTCTAAACAGCAGCAGCCATAGCTAAAGAACCAAACACAAAAGCCAAATGCGGCAAAACGGGCAGAGAGAAGCGGCCAGAGCTGTCGGCAGAGCTGATGGAGAGTGGGAAAACAGAAGCCCAGAAGAAACACACTCACTGCCTCTCTGGAGCCCAGGGGAGTGAGTGGAGGGCATGGGCTTTGTGAAGGGCCATGGGCGATGGAGGCTTCAGAACCTTTGCTCTGCGTAGGGCCCCGGTTGCTATCCAAGATGGTTGCTTGCTACTCTCTCTGTGTTGTGCTCTGAAGCAGGGGCTCTGGGTGGTTGTGGCCAGGAGTCCCCCGGGCAGCCATACTCCACGTGGTGACACAGACAGACTAGCTATGAGGGCTGTCCATGTATGGTGGTCTTGGGGAACTGATGGGACACTGGAAGCCGCCACTGGGGAGCCCTGGATTCATCCATCCACAAGTGTGGGTCAGGACTGTTTCCTCTCTCAAGATTTTTCCTGCCTAGAGGCACATGTGCTAACTTCAACGACTTCCTAATGATGTTCTGTGTCCCTGAAAGCAAGGAGAGGCTACGACAAAGGGGGCTTAGGCCCCAGGAAACAACAAACCAAGCTCTGAGCAGAAAATACTCTCTCAGTTCCCTTAGTGACACTTCCAAGCTGGACTCAGGATGTATTCCAGGAGGCTCAGAATCCTCCCTTGGGAACTGATAGTTCAGGTTTGAGGTGCAGGGGCAAGAGAAGGCAAAAGCCTGAAATGATCTGCTATAGGCCTCTCAGAAGGAAAAGAGGTACAGTGCGAGTCTGGCCCTTTCTCCAAGTTTCCTACTTGGAAAGAACAGAATTCTATCCTAAATACCTGCTGCTGGCTTGACTTAGAGCCCTGCTTCAGGTCCTGAGCCTGAGGTTGACAAATTCAGAGAGCACATACAGTAGCATGGATGCACACATGCATACACATATGTGTACACACACACACACACACACACACACACACACACAGACACGGACACGGACACACAGGGCAAATACTTGCAACTTGGGAACTGAAGAAGCAGCTAGGTGTCTGTGTGTCTGGAATGTGCTAGAAGCAGAGGGGTCAGGCAAAGGCAGCCATCTTTGGCATCCACCCATGTCCCCTGCTGACTCAGCCAAGCTCCGGAAAGACATTGGAAGTTGCAGAAGGAAAACACAAGACAAGTGACACATGACCATAGAGTTGGCCTGGGCTTTCTCCTCAGATAGGATCTGTGGGATCCATGTCTGGCCCATACCCACAGTCTGCTATGGAGTTGGCAAAGCTCAGCTCTCATCCTAGAGACACTAGATGGTAGACATTGAGTCAGGCCCATTCCAGGTCCAGAAGTCCAGACCTGTCATTCTTATCTCCTGGCCACACAGTTGGGTTTCCTTTGAGCTTCTGTGGAATCCCATCATCATGGCTACATCATTGTCCATCAAAATCCAGTTCACTCACCATTAGACTCTGGTTCTCCAGAGCAACTACCCTCTCCTCTGAGGATAGCAGAAAAGAGGAAGAATGGGACAACAGAGCTGAAGGCATGACTCTCAGCTGAAATGGGAGGCTGGTTCTTACCCTCTGTAGCTTAAGGGCTGAATCTCACACACACTTTTATAACCTGAGTATTGCTATTACAGGGTGAGCACCCGGGCCTTCCTGAAGGTGTGGAGTTGCAACTCTGGTGCCTGGAGAGTCTCAGGAAGATATGGATGGGAAAGTACCACTATCTGGGGAAATAACTCCTCCATATTGAAAAGAAAGGAACCCCTGGCTTTCTGCTGGAAGAACATCCCTTAATCGGAGGGCTGGGGAATAACTGCAATGCACTTCATGTGAAACCTTTCCCGGGAAGGAGGTTAGTTCCTACCCCACGCCACTGGCCTCCTGAAGGTTTTGCTGTGTTGGGAGGATCTGCAAACTCAGCCTGCTTCCTGGATTGAGGTGCACCTTCCCTCACCATACCCATGGTGAGACTAAATGGCCTTTGAAACTTCCTCTAAATGTTTATGTAACTAGGCACAGATTGGTGAAATTTCTAGAGCCTTAAATGTCCCCAAACTAGGGTCAATTTAGGGGACTTGAGCCTCAAGAAATAAGAAATTCTTCTCTTGACTTTCTCCCATGGGACTTGGGATATAAGCACCCAAAGTCTCTATGACCCGGATCTTCCAGTACTTGTGCAGTGGGCACCAGAGTCACTTGCGGGTGGGACCCTCATCTCCCCTGTATAAGAACACACCTTCTAAAAAGAGAGTTGGCAAAAGATTAGGCTTCACATTCCCCATCCCAGGAGCTATACTCAAAGGAGGGGCTTGGGAACCAACAGAGCTGAGCTTTTGACAACAGAACTTCCAGAAGTCCTTTCCTTTTCCCTGGAGTCTTAGGATTCTTCTGGGGGTTGTGTAAGAACAAGAAGGTGGAAGTAAATGCCCTCCAGGACTCTGAAGTTAACATGGCACCAACCAGATAGGCAGACAGGCAAACATGAAGTGCAGTTGCCAATACACAGAGACGGGTGTGAGACTGAAAGGCAGCCTGACAGGAAGCCTGTGGGTGGACAGCTATGTGCTTGGGGACTGGGGTTCAGCGGCCAGAAGAAGAGGGGTGTGAGTGTGTGTGTGTGTGTGTGTGTGTGTGTGTGTGTGTGATGAGAATGCAAGTGGTAGAATTTGGAACAACTTGAGCCACACTTAACTGCACATGGGCTTCCTTCAGGTTGGAGCTGAAGTATACAGAAGGTTGGCAGATTCACCAGACTCATGAGCCCGGTCTCTCACCCTCCGCTTTCCTAGGCCATGTATCATTCTACTTTTCCTTCCCCAGAAACCTAGCTAAACTGGTCTCTGTTCCAGGCACCTTCACTACCTGCACTCTGAGGGTCTTGGGGGCTCTGTGAGCCAAGACTCCAAGGGCTGTAAGAGCTGTGATTTAATCCCAAGTGGAAGAGGATGAAGTGGTTGTGATGTGGTGACCTCCTGGTTAAAATAACAAGGAAAAACTTTGGAGAAATGGCAAGGAAGGACATGGCAATAGGGGATCAACACCTAATTTTAGTGGTTGTTCAGATGTCTGGTGGATCCATTAAAACTGACAAGACTTTCTTTCCCAGGACGAGGAGGTCCCAATACTCACTTCTCATGCTCCCTTTCTAGTCTGGCGGAAGAGGGAAGGACTGTCGGGAATGGCTGAATGGAATTGGCAGTGACAGTCTCTCTGATATCCTAAGAGATTTGCTTGGGTCACTGCCAACCTGACATTCTGGGGCTGAGCCACCGTGGCAATGTTATTTGGTCATTCTCCTCTCACTGTAGGCAAAACAGGCAGACAGAGGCAATGAGAACACAGGGGCAGGATGCCATGTTCTGGGTACTGGGGGAGGTGGGGACAGTAACCTTCCTCACTGTTTTCAATTGGAGGGGAGCAGACAGAAAAAGGGAGAGAAGAAAGGAAAAATAAATAAAAAACCCAAGGGATGATATTCTCATTTCACACCAGCAGCAAGCAGCAGCGAGAGGTCAACAGTGCTAAGAAAGACAAGCTTGCCCTTCCCAAGATACCTTCTTCTTGGCCAGCAGCAGGTCCTGGTAAGCATTGGACCGCAAGAAGCGGGCGTAGCTGTCACTCTTCATCAGTTTGTAGATATGCTCCTGGGGAAGCAGAGGAGCAGGGAGACACAAGAAAGAACTGTCAGTTGGAGCTAAAAGGAAATGACAATCCACCTGACCTGGGGGCGGGTGGGCACACAAACCTAGGGATGTTCTGATGGACCTAGAACAACTGGCAGTGTGTCCCACTTCTCCCATGTCACATATAAACCAAGAAATAAAGAAACAAACAAAATGGAATTTTCTCTTATAGAGAAAGAGACCACTGAGGTTTGTGTCTTAAAGGATTTGTAATCAGGGCTGGGAATGAACTACTGGTATATCCCCAAACTGGGGAGGATCTCAAGGGAATTATGATGGGTGAAAAAGTTGTTCCTCAATCATATCACCTGATTTCATTTATAGAACATTCTTAAAAGGACAAATTAGAGAAATGGAGAACAGATTAGTGGTGGCCAGAGTTAGGAATGGGGGAGTAGGTGTTTGTACAAGGCAACAGGAAGGATCTTTGTGGTGACGGGTGGTTCTGTATCTTGACATATCTACACAGGTAATATAACTGTGAAGACTGAAGCACACACATACACGAGTACATGAACAATTGGTAACCTTGAATCAGTGGATGGCTACTCCACCGTTACAATACTATATACTACTATAGTTTTGCAAGATGCTGCTATTGGGGAGTTGAATAAACAGCCCATCTCTGCATTCTTTAACAACTTTCTGGGAGTCTACAAGTGTCTCTAAATAAGAAGTACAGCTTCAAAAAGCAGCCTAGAGAGTCTGAGGAGATGGCCCAGTGGATAAGAGCTCATGGGGGATGTATTTTTTTTCATTTTAATTTAATTTTTATATGTACTGGTGTGTTGTCTGCATGCATGTGTTCCATGGGCATGCAGAGGCCAGAGAGGGCGATAGATCCCCAAGGACTGACAGTTGAGCAGCCTTGTGGGAACTGGGAATCAAACCTGGTTCTCTAGAAAAGCATCTCAGCTGCTGACTCCTCTTTTTAGCCCTGGGGTTGGGGTAGGGTGGGGAACTGCTTTTTTAATTTATTTTTTAAATTTATTTATTTATTTATTTATTTATTTATTTATTTATGTATTTATTACACAGTGTTCTGTCTGCATACCTGGCTAGAGAGTCCTGGAACAATGGTCAGGCTGTGCCAAGATTCCTTCCTACCCAGCATAAAAGGCACATAGCCAAGACACAGAATTAATCGAGGTGCCTATCATCTTATGTACAGATAAAGTAGGAAATGTGAGATATATATTTTACACACACACACACACAGTCTTTAGCCTTAAGAAGGAAAGCTGTTACCTACCATGATGTAGATGAGCCTAGGTGAAATGAACTGAAATAAACTGGGCACAGAATAACCAATGCTTCCTGACTCTGCTTAACACGTGGAACTGACACAGCAAGCAGACTCACAAAAGCAGAGAGAGTGATGGCTCCTGGGACTGACAGATGCAGGGAAGGGGCGCTGGGGGATGCTGGGCCTCAGGGGAAACACTTCATTTAGACAGGAGGAAAAAGTTCAGGGTATCGATAGTTCATCATGGTTGACTTCAGTTCATCCCAGTATTTGGCGGTTTAGAAATTTTGATTTAAAAAGTTCGTAATAAACTAAGCATGTGGAATCATCCGCATGTTGGATTACTTGATTCAGGCACTTTTCAGTGTATACATGTGTCAAAATGTGATGTTTGCGTCATAAAAACAGATGACTTGGGTGAAAATGAAGAGGGAACACACGAAATGTGTTGGTTATGCCAGGAACCTCTGTGGCCCATGCCCAGCTGAACCCCAAAGAATCCTGGGATTGGCCTCACTCTTCCTGAGATGCCCCATGTTTACAAAAGTTGGCTGGCAGCCTCATCAAGGGAAATGGAAGGGCAGAGGATGCCGGGGAATTAAACAGTGGCTGCTTTGGAGACTGTGTTCTCATTTAACAATCTTACTGTGAAATGTTTTTCTGAAAAACTCAGAAATATCCAGTACCACCCGCCTCCCAGTTTAAGTCCCTGGATGGTCTTCATCTTTTAGAGGTGCATCCTGTCTGTCACAGGGCCAAACATTTAGTTGGGTTTACACAGTGCTGTGGGTGGTTTGGCTACAGCTTAAACATGTTCCCAAAGGGCCCAATACCCAGTTAATTCCTGCAAGAAGGCTGGTTTCCCTTTCACGCCCTCTCTCATCACACACTCCCTACCATATTGAATAGGAAGGCCCTCACCAGAGCCCCAACAGACAAGGTTGCCTCATCTTAGAATTTCAGGCTCCAAAACTGAACCAAATAGTTTTTTACTCTGCCAGATGCCCGTCCCCAAGTAGTTTGTTACAGAAACAGAAAACACACTAATGCACGGTCGTTTTGTTCACTAAAATGCTTCCTTGAGTTTAATGTTCAAGTTTGCAGGCTGCATGCCTGCTTTAGTTCATGTCTGGCCTAAGCATCTGCTTGCTTACTCTGTGTGAGTAAGGATCATATCCCCCACAAAGGACTGTGAACCTCTTAGCTCGAACCTCCTTCTCAGCCCCAGACCCTAGACCCAGGGGTGCCATTGGCCTTTGCTTTCATTTGCTGCTCTAAATTGCTCTACCATTAATATCGTAGGTACAAATGTTAACTCTGTGTAAAGACGACCTACTGTCTTTTTATTTTTTATTTTATCAGGCATCATCTCTGTCTGGCCAATAGAGCCAGGTGGCTCCTGAGCGATCTGTGAAGGCTTGTCCCAACAGTTCGAGCCTCTCCAAATCTCTCTTTAAAACAACACCTCTCTGCTGCTGCTTCTGGCTTGTCCTAGGAATCTAAATGCCTAGTATATGCTTCACAGTCCTCTGCTTCCCTGTAAGGTAGAAGGAGGTTTTTCTTAGCCCGACCCTTCTGGCCTGAGCAACACACTTCAACTCAGATCTGCTTAATTCCTATTATCTCAGTGCACTTAGGAAAAACATTGGTTCATTAACAAAATAGACCTTGTCACCGGAAATAGGGCAGGAAAAGACATTTAATCATGGCTCGATTCACCAGATATTTATTGAGCATCTAGTAGGTGCCAGGCACCAAGTCTGACCATGAGGCTATAGTCTGAAGAAGACAAAGAGAGCTTTGTTGTCACAGAGCTTAGCATCTATAGACAAGAACACATTCCCCCAAGATGCATTTAGCCATTTGGGCTAAGGGCTGCAAAGCTGTCCAGGAACAGCTGCTATGCTTGCGTGTGACCCTGGGATGAGCAAATCTTCCTGGGTGGAGAAAGGTGGCCCATCACTGGAAAATGTCTCTTCAAGGCAGGAAGGTCTGAGCAGACACTGACAAGAGTGAGTCTCAGCTCTATAGGAGCTGAGGGGAAGGGGCTGGCACAGAATGTTCCCACAGAGTGGGCAGGACAACCTAGGGCAAACAGCAGGCAACGGCTCACTCTCCAAAGGCATGTGTCAGTGTGGGTCCAAGGAAAAGTGTGGACACCGCTGTTACCACCCCGAAGCGGCCAACTCCAAAGTCACACACCCAGGCAAGGACAGTATGAGGGAGGGTAGGCAAGTGAACACAGACTGCTGGAGGGTGAGTACCATGGTCTTGCTCCCACTGCCCCACTTACAACTTTTTACTAGCATTATGGAGCCTCAAATCACTTTATATGGGTACGTGTGCATGTACACACACACACACACACACACACACAGAGAGAGAGAGAGAGAGAGAGAGAGAGAGAGAGAGAGAGAGAGAGAGAGAGAGAGAGAGAGAGAGAGAGAGAGAGAGAGACAGAGAGACAGAGAGACAGAGAGACAGAGAGAGAGAGAGTATCCCTGGCATTCAGGTCTGACAAAAACAGGGTTTTGACTCTCTGCAGCTCTCCCAGGCCCCTTATGGGGGCCACAGTGCCAGCTTCCCTCTGGCCTGAGCCTGGCTTTCCCACAGCCTAGAGTTTCGGTGACTCCCTTGTCCTGCTCCTCCTCCCCCAAACAAAGAAATGTTGCCTTTGATGTCAGGAAAATGTGTTCCTTCCAGCTTTGTCTAGGAAACACAAAGACAGTAAACAGGGGGTGGGTGAGCCCAGAGCTGAGATTTTTCTGGGAATGAGAATTAAGATCAGACTCAGGGTCTCTGGCCGTTTCCCAAATGCAATGAGTTTATCACTGCCAGGGACAGCAAGTGTACAAAGCTCTTGGCAGTGACCTCTGCTGATTTATGAGGGGTTCTGGTGTGTTTTCACCGTTCTGCCGACAACTGGTCCTAAGGGAAATGTATATCTACATTCGCAAAGTGCAAGGAGCCACTGGTAAACTCAGCCAAGTCCTGGTTGAGGAAATGGGGCTGGAGGGGAAAAATCTGCTCTTTTCTTCTTTTGCCTTTCCGTGTCTTGTCTTACTCTCACTTCCCCTTCTTTCCCTCCTGCTTATCCGCTATCTGCCCCCTCCCTCCAACTCCCTCTGTATATTAGAGAGATGAGGGTTGACATCCAGAAGGCAGAACCACATGGCCACACCTGCCCCTGGGATACCTCCTAAAGGGAGGACAAAAATGGCTCTGTCTGTGTTAAGAAACCAATACTTTAGGACCTAAACCACACGGGTGTCTTAGCCACACACTTTCCAGGGGTGGGAAGGATGAACGCCCTCTGATGAAACACAGCTCCTTCATTTTCCCTTCCTGGGCCTGGCTGATCTGTAGATGGGTCCTCTGCTTGCCTGGGATACTAAGACAGAAGCAAGATGGCTGAGGCCACTAAGCATCTAGGAAACACATGGGAGCTGGGGTAAGCAAGCAAACACAGCATCTCCAGACTGCACCTGCTTCAAATCAATATTTTGCTGTGAGAGCCCTCATTCAGAAACGTCCTTTCTTTTTAGACAAAACACCAGGCCTCTGGTAAAAGGAAAACACTGGGCCTCTGGTGAGAGGGGTGTGTGTGTGTATGTGTGTGTGTGTGTGTGTGTGTGTGTGTGTGTACGTATTCACATGAATGTCCGAGGCCTTGGGCTGCACACATGCCGGAGCAGCTGAACCTCTCAAGAGTATC